CTATTTAAACTCCTTCCAACATTGTTCATACTCTGTTTAATGACTTATTATACACAATTGCCCAAAATGCAAGTTCCATATTAGCAAGATTCAGAGAAGAGCAGTGACCTCGCTCAGAGATCACACACACACCTTAAGAAACTTTCTACAGACACAGCATTGAACATAAAAATCAGTGACCACATTTAGGCAGATCAAAGGTACCAATATCAATTGAAGCTGAACAGGGGGGAATTAACAAGTATTAGCTGTTCATTGGACGGGTGGAATAAAAACTTGTTTGTAACAAAGGATAGGAAAATGTGCTTCTATTTTTTTTGCTTAACATAATAAACATTAAAAGCGCAATAAAAACACATAAAGGTACCAATATACTGAAAAGAAAGACATACTGTTTTTAAGAATTCTATCAATATGAAATTAGATGGGGGTACAACCCCCCCCCCCCTCCAATGACATTCCTGATGTCCTCCTGTATAAAGTTGTGCTGATTTGTTAGTTTTTTCAAAAATCAGATATGAAATTAGATGGAGGGTCTACCCCCCTCATGACCTTCCTCATATCATCCTCTATCACTGTGTCAAGTTTGGTGCTAATTGATCAAGAAATGTGGAAACATATAAGGAACAGATACAGCATGATAGATATGCAACAGCATATTTTTTGCCCAGACACGCACTTTATATAGTAGACTAGCTGGAGTACCCGTCCATTGACTGGATGAAACAAAAACTCATTTGTAACAAAGGATAAGAAATTGTGCTTCTGTTTTCATAACATAATAAACATTAAAAGTGTAATAAAAATACATAAAGGTAACAATACTGAAAAGAATAACATATTGTTTTCAAGAATTCTATCAGCATGAAATTACCTAGGGGAGTCCAACCCCCTCATGACCTTCCTCATATCATCCTATATCACTGTGTCAAGTTGTGTTGATTTGGTAGTTTTCCAAAATTATATATGAAATTAGGTGGGGGGGGGGGGGTTTTAACCCTGGATGTACCCCACCCCTCATGACCTTCTTCATGTCATCCTGTATCACTGTGTCAAGTTGGTGCTGATTGATCAAGGAATGTGGAAACATGGAATAGATATATATATACACACACACACACGTATTGATGTATATTTATATACATTAACCCTCCATACATCTGATCTAACAATGTATCCGAAAGGTTAAGACTTACAATGTCACAAGTTAGATTAACCATCTGTATGTCTAATCCAAGAACTTATCAGAAAGTTAGTATTATTAGAAATTTAAGACTTACAACACCATAACTATAAACATCAACTTTTGTTGATAACTGGTTATCTCGAAGGTACTCTGGTGGTAAGTAAACTTGCGTTCCATGAACCCTGGTGACCTTTACATGAGTATCTTCACCAGAGGGACCTTCCCTTGTCAGACCAAAATCTCCAATCTTTGGTTCCATGTTAACGTCAAGCAAAATGTTAGCACTATTAAAATATTAAAAGAAACTAATGAAAGCATCAACTCATTATCGGCTGTGAGTATGAAAGTTTATCTCAATCACGTACAAACAGGTTTCAATACAAATATAACTATAATATACACATCCACAAGCCTATGTTTAAATGACTTAGAGTCACTGTTGTTAAGTGATGGTAATACTGAAGGTTTAAAAACAAATGGGGGGGGGGGGGCTATGGACCCTTATAAGAAATAAGATCCTGTCTAACAGACTTGGAGTCCTGGGGTAGCAGTTTCAAGCTCACCCTCCCCCAAAAATCCAAATGTTGATCACTTTCTGTCAGTTCTTCCTCAAAAGAAAAATACCAACATTATTATTATTACATAAATTATTAGGAATATTATATACATTAACAACATTATGAGCTTTAGCCCTCTAACTACAGCCTTCAAAATGTAAGTGTATAGCTGATACTACTGATTCACCTTTCATGGTATAACTAAAAGTCTAGGAACCAAGTAACAATGTAGCAAACAAGTCAGGTAACAATGTAATTAACAAGTCAAGTAACAATGTAATGAACAAGTCAAGTAACAATGTAACAAACAAGTCAAGTAACAATGTAACAAACAAGTCAAGTAACAATGTAATGAACAAGTCAAGTAACAATGTAACAAACAAGTCAAGTAACAATGTGATTAACAAGTCGAGTAACAATATAACAAACCAAGTAACAATGTAATTAACAAACCAAGTAACAATATAACAATCACGTCAAGTAACAATATAACAAAAGGTCAAGTAACAATATAACAATCACGTCAAGTAATAATGAACAAGTCAAGTAACAATATAACAAAAGGTCAAGTAACAATGTAATTAACAAGTCAAGTAACAATATAACAAAAGGTCAAGTAACAATGTAATTAACAAGTCAAGTAACAATATAACAATCACGTCAAGTAATAATGAACAAGTCAAGTAACAATATAACAATCCCATCAAGTAATAATGAACAAGTCAAGTAACAATATAACAAAAGGTCAAGTAACAATATAACAATCACGTCAAGTAACAATGTAATTAACAAACCAAGTAACAATATAACAATCACGTCAAGTAATAATGAACAAGTCAAGTAACAACATAACAAAAGGTCAAGTAACAATATAACAATCACGTCAAGTAATAATGAACAAGTCAAGTAACAATATAACAAAAGGTCAAGTAACAATGTAATTAACAAGTCAAGTAACAATATAACAAACCAAGTAACAATGTAATTAACAAACCAAGTAAAAATGTAATTAACAAATCAAGTAACAATATAACAATCATGTCAAGTAATAATGTAACAAATCAAGTAACAATATAACAATCATGTCAAGTAATAATGTAACAAATCAAGTAACAATGTAATTAACAAATCAAGTAACAATATAACAATCATGTCAAGTAATAATGTAACAAATCAAGTAACAATGTGATTAACCCTTTTGCACCAGGTACCCCTTTAAACACTTTTCTATGCAAAGTCATTGTGTTACATTAAAAACTTAATTAAACACCTTTACTATCAATGTATGTGAATGAAATTAACATTTAAAGTACGTTTTATGTTATCTAAGTTTAAGTCGTTTACTTCAAAAGAAACCATTATAAAAACTCCAGATTGTTGATGATAATAGCTAGATTTAGTGATATGACAGAGAAAATAAAAACTCCAGATTGTTGATGATAATAGCTAGATTTAGTGATATGACAGAGAAAATAAAAACTCCAGATTGTTGATGATAATAGCTAGATTTAGTGATATGACAGAGAAAATGTAAAATAAAATATTTACCTTAAATAAACTTTTGATATCCATTTAGGAGGTTCTAGAGGTTATGCAAATGAAATATGAAAACTAGAAGATGTAGAAAAGTATTTTTATACTTAAAATGAAAATCACCTTGCATTCAGTTTATTAAGAGTTTGAGCGAAAGTAACTACAACAGATAAATAACATTTTAAGTAAAAACACTTAATTATAATAATTTCATTCGTTGTGTTCAAGATACTTGTAATTTTTAACAAAAAATCTTACCAGTTTTTGATATGATACATTAAGAAATCCCTGAGTTATAGTATGTATTGTTGCAAAAATGAAATTCCCAATACAGCATTCTGTAAGTCACCTGAGCCAATTGTGAAAGGGTTAACAAATCAAGTAACAATGTAATTAAGACGTCACGTAACAATGTAATTATCAAGTCAAGTAACAATATAACATATATAAATCAAGTAACAATATAATTAATAAGTCAAGTAATAATGTAATTAACAAATCAAGTAACAGTGTAATTAAGACATCAAGTAACAATGTAATTATCAAGTCAAGTAATAATGTAATTAACAAATCAAGTAACAATATAATTAATAAGTCAAGTAGTAATGTAATTAACAAATCAAGTAACAATATAATTAATACGTCAAGTAATAATGTAATTAACAAATCAAGTAACAATATAATTAATAAGTCAAGTAATAATGTAACAACCAAAAGTTGAAGAAATATTTCAACAAACATAGGGTAAGTATTACTGAAGTATTATTACTGCTTTAACTTTTTTTTTCACTGTCTGATTTAGAGATAAAGAACTCTTCCAGAATCAATTTATTTTAAAACAAAATAAAACACAAAAAGATGCATGTTTTATTATTTCGTTATTTATCTGAAACTTGAAACTAATAAACTTTGTGGTGGTACAAAATTTCGTGATCAGTTTCAAAAGCCTTTAATATTCGTGAGTAGTTTTAGGCTTGTGGTACATTTACGAGGCTTTAATATTCATGGGTAGTCTCAGGCTTGTGGTGCGTTTACAAGGCTTTAATATTCATGGGTTGTTTCAAGCTCATGATAAGTTTCACAAGGCTTTAATATTCATGGGTTGTTTCAAGCTCGCGATAAGTTTCACAAGGCTTTAATATTCGTAGGTAGTTTCAGGCTTGTGGTATGTTTACAAGGCTTTAGTATTCATGGGTAGTTTCAGACTTGTGGTATGTGTACAAGGCTTTAGTATTTGTGGGTAGTTTTAGGCTTGTGGTATCTTTACAAGATTTTAACATTCATGGATAGTTTTAGGCTTGTGGTATCTTTACAAGATTTTAACATTCATGGATAGTTTTAGGCTTGTGGTATCTTTACAAGGTTTTAACATTCATGGATATAAAATTTTAAAGTTAATTAGCACATGCGAGTACAAATCTAGTGTTACCTCTTAACATCTCCATGTATCAACACGTATGATGTGGTGTGTAGATAATTCAGTCCTCTAGCTGTGCCTTCTGCGATGATGCCTCGTTGCATCCAAGTGAGTGGTGGAGTATTATCCTATCAAACAAGGTGTTACTAACTTAGAGAATATATAAAAAACATTACTTAGTCATGAATGTGAAGAACTTGTTATTAATATTATAACTGCCATTACTGTAGCTGTAACCAGGTCAAATACGCATACACATCAGAAAATAGAAGCTAAACAATTAATTCTTAAAAGGAACTATAAGTTTTAATATATCTGTTGATTTATTTAAATACTACTATATTTACATAAACAATTTACATGACACCACTCCTCACCAGATTAATCTATCAGTAAATGTTACAGAACTCCTCACCATAACAATCTATCAGTAAATGTTACAGAACTCCTCACCATAACAATCTGTTGGTATATGTTACACCACTCCTCACTATAAAAATTTGTCAGTAAATGTTACAAATCCCCTCACTATAACAATCTGTCAGTAAATGTTACACCACTCCTAACCAGAATAATATCAATAAATACTATGGATCTCCTCACTATAACAATCTGTCAGTACAGATGTAATAACATTCAACTTTTTAGCTTACACAATACATACTGATATTATCTGTTTAACAATCACATTCAAAGCAAAACACAGCAAATTTCAAACCATTTTAAATAAGACAAGAAGTTAGAAAAGCTCCAAGTTAACTGTAAGTAATTAGAAAAAACCATTTAGACAAAGACTCTGTGACTTCATATTACACATTCATATGTTCTTAATGTTATATATTTTCTCTCTCTAGCATTGTCAACTGTTCTATCTAAACGACATGTAATCCGGCCCTTCATTATTTCTTCACACCAAGTTTGATTTAAACAAGCTCTCGGCTGGTTAGTTTTTCACATCAAACACGATTACTTTGAATAACAACTGATCTCCTAAAGATCAACTAGTTAGTTTTACTACAATAACAGTCTTACCTTTGGTGTTATCCAAACTTAATAAACCCAACTAATTCATTTTTAACAACACAGATTCTTACTCTGAATAACAACTGATCTCCTAAAGATCAACTAGTTAGTTTTACTACAATAACAGTCTTACCTTTGGTGTTATCCAAACTTAATAAACCCAACTAATTCATTTTTAACAACACAGATTCTTACTCTGAATAACAACTAATCTCCTAAATATCGACCAAGTTAGATTTCACACCATAAAAGGCTTAACTTTGGTGTTATCCAAACTTAATAAAACCAAATGATTTGTTTATCACAACACGGATTTTTATTTATTACTCACCCTTAATAATAACCGATCTTCTACAGATCCATTAACCATAAACTGGTAGATCAAACAAGGTTCTGGACCATCTAAGCTGACTCCATACAATGGAAGGATGTTATCTATTCTATGGCTAATTGGGAAAAAAGAAAGCAATCTTTGTGTATAGCTTCAAACTTTAAAAAATACTGAAAAAAAAAAAAACTTTAAATGCAATAATTTATTTTCTACAGACAAGTATAAGTTAATAACATATTAAATGTAAAATAAATTCTAAAACACTGAAAAACTAAATTGGCCTTCAATCCAGAATAGTATATACTTAACCAATCAAATTAATTTCAGGTAAATTATTGTGTTTTAATGTTATTTATAAAACTATATCATGTAATTTAAAACTAAGGTCAGAGAGTATTTTGTTTGTTGCGTTTCAGTAGTACGTACTTTAAAACTACACATCATTAAGTTTGGAAAACATAGTTAATTGTTTGTTTTAGAGTAAAGCCACAATGGGCTATCTGCTGTGCCCACAGTGGAAAATCAAACCACTAATTTATTAGCACTGTAAGTCTGTAAACTTACTGCTGTCCTACCAGGAGACCAGAGTTGACATTTTAAACTCTACATAAATAAACATTACAACAACTCTAAAGCCTAAATATTTTTTTTTAACTTTGCACAGCTGAACGATTTATGGAATAAACAATATATTGTATTTATTTCCATAAGATAGCACATTATTAGAACTGTTAGGCCCATTAAACCTTTTCTATATAAAAACCTAATATCATTTCTATCGTTGCCTCCTGACAATATTTTAATCTTTCATATTTAAATCCACATTAGTTAAGGTAACATCTAATACATTTTGTTTTACTAGTCTTGAGTCTATTCATATATAAACGTTGTTTTCATTTGAATTTGTTCCTTTGTTTGTAATCAAGCACAGGCTACACAATGGGCTATCTGTGCTGTGCCCACCACGAATATCTAAACACAATTTCTAGTGTTATAAGTCCATAGACATACCACTGAGCCACTGGGAGGCATATGAATTTGGAGCGTACCTCTTCAGCCTCAACTACATATTTAGCTACTTGGTGTTTGTTTTAAAATGAAATCTGGTCTCCATTTAATTGTGAATTGGAAATCATTATTATCAACAAGTAGGTTTATGGTAGCAAACTGATTATTGCAGAATTTCTGCAGATGAACTATTAATAAAGGTTAATAACAAAAAACAAGTCCTAAAACTAAAGGTTAATAATAAAAAACAAGTCCTAAAACTGAAGGTTAATAACAAAAAACAAGTACTAAAACTGAAGGTTAATAACATAAAACATATCCTAAAACTGAAGGTTAATAACATAAAACAAGTCCTAAAACTGAAGGTTAATAACATAAAACAAGTCCTAAAACTGAAGGTTAATAACATAAAACATATCCTAAAACTGAAGGTTAATAACATAAAACAAGTCCTAAAACTGAAGGTTAATAACGTAAAACAAGTCCTAAAGCCTGTTTTAACACAAAAGGTTTTCATAAAGATAACAAGCCTGTTTTAACACAAAAGGTTTTCGTAAAGATAACAAGCCTGTTTTGACACAAAAGGTTTTCATAAAGATAACAAGCCTGTTTTAACACAAAAGGTTTTCATAAAGATAACAAGCCTGTTTTAACACAAAAATGTAAACAGATAAAAAGAAAGATAATCAATTTATTATGTTAGACATTTCACCCCACCTGTACAATATTTTCATCTCATTCAATGACTGCTTTAAGCTAACTTGTTGTCGGGAGACACTGTCTTGGCCCTCTCTCTAAGTAAATACATATTCAGATAAAAAATACATACAATTAATATGTTTTCGTTTTTACAGAACTTTTGAACAATGTTAACACACACACACAACCTGATAAAATTTCGTCTAACATTGTTCTTAATTAACACCTTTAAACATACTGTAAAAACTGTTTTATACTCAATATTCTCCAATTCCCTCATTTTGTATTTTGTGTGAAAATTCACAATTAAAAATAACTTTCCTTTTGTTGATTGTGAAATGGGTGGAGACTACCTATTATAGAAATACTTGTAGAAATATATTGGTGACTACACTAGCTACTTATGCAGCTCAAGTGTGAAAGACAATAATTCGAAAGGACTGTTTACCAACAACATTTTTTACACATTATATTTCCTCATGAAAATTTTGTTTGTTTGTTTTGAATTTCGCGCAAAGCTACACAAGGGCTGTCTGCACTAGCCGTCCCTAATTTAGCAGTGTAAGACTAGAGGGAAGGCAGCTAGTCATCACCACCCACCGCCAACTCTTGGGCTACTGATTTACCAACGAATAGTGGGATTTACTGTCACGTTATAACGCCCCCACGGCTGAAAGGGCGAGCATGTTTGGTGTGACGGGGATTCGAACCCGCGACCCTCAGATTGCGAGTCGAGTGCCCTAACCACCTGGCCATGCCAGGCCCCTCATGAAAATACTGATAACTACCAGCAACATGGTAAGCTCTACGTGTATAATAAATACATTTGAGACAAGTAGGGATCAATATATACATAGCCTAGCTAGTTATAGTAACATAGAAAGTTGTAATACTACAAAAGGTGTTAAAACAAGAAAGTCATACTATAAAAACTGAGTTACTTAAAATTTATTTATAATAACTAAATGGCACCAATTGCAAATAAACAAAACTTTAAATGGTGATTATGATGATAATATCTGTGTAGACCACACGCTATAGTGTAAATATCTGTGTAGACCACACGCTATAGTGTAAATATCTCTAGACCACATGCTATAGTGTAAATATCTGTGTAGACCACACGCTATAGTGTAAATATCTCTAGACCACATGCTATAGTGTAAATATCTGTGTA